TACGACCGATGCGGTGCACGTACTCGTCAATGTCGTTCGGCAGATCGTAGTTGATGACGTGGCGCACGTTCGGAATGTCGAGACCGCGGGCAGCGACCGCGGTGGCGACCATCACGTTGGCTTGGCCGGATCTAAAAAGCGGAAATGCTGACAATTCAAAACAAAAAGTTGTCGCTCAGAAAATCAGGCTCACCGGAACATGTCGAGGTTCTGCTCACGCTCGAACTGCTTGAGATCGCCGTGGATGGCGACGACACCGTAGTCATTGCGTTCCAGGTAGTACTGAAGATCCGAAGCGCCACGTTTCGTCTCGACGAACACGACGGTCAGGGCTTCTTGGCCTGGAAAAATTCATTAAAATCATTTTCAGGATTAAAAATGTTTAAAAACTATGTTTCCCGAAAAATTCAAGCAAACCTACCTCCAGCATCAAGCAGATCCATCAGAATGTTGCGCTTCTCGTTCTCCTCGACCCAGACGACCTTTTGCTGGATGTTTTCGGAGGTGGAGCCGACACGGCCGACCGCCAAGAACACGTAGTCGGGCATCAGGAAATCTTGGGCGAGCACCTAAAAAGACTTTTTAAACTTGAAAAACCATTTCGCGCCTGGATCTCCTTGGGGAAAGTGGCGGAGAACATGGCCGTGACTCGTTCACCCTTGCGCGGCATGCTTGACAGCTCGACAATCTAAATTATGAAATATGAAAAAAATTTTAGTGTTTTTTTTCAGTCAAAAACTATGTTTTTAAAGGCCTAGGTATTCGGAGAAGGACCATGACGTCACAAATAAAACAGCGCGGAAGGCTTGCAATAAGCTCAAAACGTTTACGAATACAGTATACCCCGAAATAAGTCAAAAAAGAAAAATTGCGTAGTTTTGACCACTCAAAAATAAATATTGCTATTGATATTGAAATTCTATATTTTTACAAATTATTGGACCTTTCGATAAAGCATAGAAGAAGCCCCAATGCTCTAAAATTAGAGTATCCCCCGAAAAAGCAAAAAATAATTCCTCAAAAAATGTGGGAAGCCTTTGACCCCCGTTCCGCATGGAGTTCGGAATAGGAAACACGTGGCCGTCGCTACACTTTTGCACATGCAACTATCCCAATCAACCATTGAGGCGTTGTCGGGCCCTTTTTGTGCTGGCGGGGGGTCGAACCGGGGCCCTGGGGGTGGTAGGCCGGCACGTTAGCCAGTCGGCCACACGGGAAGTGGGGACAAGGGAGGAGGGCGGAGCTATGACCCTCCCAAGTGCGCCACGGGAGAGCGGTTAGGCCTTATTTTGGACATAAAAATCGAAATTAATATTCAATTTTTCGAATTTTTTAATAGGATTGATTTTTCAAACTAACACCTGGTAAATCTGGGGTATAACAAAAATAGCTTTTTTGGCATTTTTGGTACCAAACCGAAAGGAAAATGAATTTTAGCTATGAAAATCAAATTTAGATAATTTTGAAACGGTTTTCCTATGCAGTAATTTTCCAAGGCTATACCTGACGAATCTGGGGCTCGAAACCCATGTCCAACATCCGATCAGCCTCGTCGAGTTCCAGGTTGTTGCAGCCGGAAGGCCCGATGTAGCCCTGCTCCATCACGTCGATCAATGGCCAGGGGTGGCGATGAGGATGTGGCAACCGAGCTAAAAACCGAGTTTAAAGACGTAAAAAAATATTTAGAAAAATGTCTTTAAATGCTAGTCCAAAGCCTTGGAAGTTGGAATCTTGTTGAAAATGTAAAAATGTACGAAATTTTTCGCTACTTACTTCGAAAAAGACTATTCCCTAGCGAAACACTGGGTTTTTTCGAAATTTCAAAATTTCAAAAGGAAGTCACACTCCTGGAAGTGTTAGAATTTTGCGGTAAATGACAAAAAATTGCGGAATGTAGCTTGAAAACCCTGTCTCATTCTTACGACACTCTCAAAGCTGCATTCCTAAGCAATTTGACCCTCCCAAGGGCGCCACGGAAAAGGTGTTTAGGAGCCTAATTTTGGGTATAAAATCGAAATGAAATTATTTCAAAGCTTTTTTGAATAGAATTGATTTTTCAAGCTTATACCTGGCGAACCTGGGGATCATAATCAATTTCCACCATTTTTAAGGGTGGAAAATGAATTTCAGGTAAAAACGAAATTAGATAATTTTGAAGGGGATTTCTCAGCATTATTTTTTGAACGTTATACCTAACGTATATGGCGCATCGCATTCGAGAAATTTAGATATCACAACGAAAGAAAAATGAATTTTAGCTATAAAAAAGAATTTAGATAATTTTAAAGCGATTTTCCTATGCAGTAATCTTTCAAGGCTATACCTGACGAATCTGGGGCTCGAAACCCATGTCCAACATCCGATCGGCCTCGTCGAGCACCAGGTTGTTGCAGCCGGAGAGGCCGATGTAGCCCTGCTCCATCACGTCGATCAGACGGCCAGGGGTGGCGATGAGGATGTGGCAGCCAAGCTAAAAAATCAGATTAAATGACAAATAAATTAAGTTTTTGAAAAACCTAGAAAATTTACCCCAAGGCCTTGGCAGCTAGAATCTTGTTGGAAGCTTAAAAATCCGAATGACAGTGTTTAAATTACGCAATTTTTCGCTATTTATTTAGAAAAAAAGACTATTCACCAGCTTGAAAACTATAAATAAAGATTAGAGCGGCTCCAACCCCCGGCTCTTTTCAGAATTTTGACCCAATTTTAAAGAAGCTCCTTATAAAACAGAACAAATTCCCAAAAACGCACCCTCAGCTTGTTGATCTGGTCCCGGTAGTTTTCGCGACCTCCGTAGAGCAGCGCCGACGTGATCGGGGTGCGGTAGGCGAATTTGCGCGACTCGTTGTAGATCTGGAGGGACAGCTCGCGGGTCGGCGACAGGATGAGGGCGCTGGGGAACTGCTTCTTGCGCCCGGAACGCCCGATGTCTTCGCGGTGGATGGCTTCGGGACCACCCTAAAAAAAACAATCGTCTAGCCAATTTTGAAAGAAAGCTATAACGACAATTTTCAGCTACATGGAATAATAAATTGCGATTACTTTGAGGGAATAAAAAGCTTGACTTGCGTTCTTTCGCATTACTGGCGGTTTGAACGTCCAAAAATGGCCGCTTTGACCAGAATTTCGTCATTCTTGAAATTTCGAGTTGAAATGAAGTTCTATTTTACGAAGAACATTATTAAGCTACTTCCGATTAAGTTACTTGACATTTCTAGACATATGCAAAAGAATTTGCCATTCCCCCTCATAGTGCGAAAGCACCTTGCTTCTCTTCGAAAATAGGAATAAAACACACCTGCAAGATAGCGTTGATCAGCGGCACCAAGAAGGCAGCTGTCTTTCCGGATCCGGTCTGCGCGCAGGACATCAGATCGCGGTTGTCCATCAACGCCGGGATGCTGTACTTCTGGACGGGGGTGGGGCGGTCGTAGCCCGATTTCTTAATGTTCTCCTCGATCCACTCGTGCAGCTTCAGCTCGGCAAAGTAGCTGATGGGCTGGGGGACGTTTTCGCCGGTGGCCTCGACGGGGATCTCCTCGTATTTGTCAAAGTTGATGCCCGAGTTCATGCCGGCGAACAGCTCCTGCTCGAGGCGTTCGTCTAAAATCGGGAATTAAAGGTATGGGTGAATTTACAAACCTCGGGGAAGTTGGCGGGCCCAACCTTGTTGCTGACGCTCTTGCTCCTGGCTCCAGCGAGAGCTGAAACAAGTCTTTTATAAAAATTGGCGGGGTTTTCTTAAAATCCACTTTTCAACACATAAAAAAGTGTTTTTAAACTTTTACGTTTAGTAGTTAGTAGTTAATTTTTCAGTTTTGTTACCATTCCAATGCGTAAACATTTTAAAAATTTTGTTAAACAATACCAAAAATCGATTTTTCTATCCAAAATCGTCAATTTTCGAGCACAATTTTGCATTTTTAAAGAGTCTTTATAGCTTTCAGCAGTAGTCCCAACGCTAAAACTCACTTCTGTGCGGGAGCGCGATTTCCGCCTGCAAATCCGCCGCCAAATCCGGCTCCTCCATCTTGAGGCGCCTGATCATGATGTCCACCGCCGGCGCCGCCGCGCCCTTGTCCCTTCCACTCCTGCTCGTCGTGGTAGTTGCTGCGGTCGTAGGACTGTCGCCCGCGGTAGCCGCCGCCATTGTTGTAGTCACCACTAAATCCAAAATTGAGTTTTTTGGAGCATGGACGTACCGGCCGCCACGACCACCGCCGCGTCCGCCACGGTGTCCTCCACCGTATCCACCGTCATATCCGCGATTGCCGCCGTCACCATCGCCAAAATTTCCGCGATTGTTGAAGCTTGAACTCTGGAAAAGCACGCATTAATAAATCGAAAATCCAGCTACACGTGTCCTAAAATAGCTGGCCTAAAAATGGTAGGATCTGGATGGTGTCAACACCATCCAAATTTCTAGAAAGACGATAAAGGTGGAATGTGAACGCAATTAAAACAATTTAATAATTTACCTTGTGCATACCACCGTCCCCGCGGGGTGCACCATTACCGTGGTCTTCGCCGCCGCCGCGACTTCCACGAAGATGAGGAGGCACGTACGCGCCACGGCCGCCTTCTGAAGAATCAGCTAAATTTGGGGTTCGGATGCCATGGAATCGTCCGAGCCACAAACTATCCAAAAAAAAACTCACGGCCGCCGCCACGATTGTTTCCTCCGAAGTTTCCTACATTTTCACTCATATCCTGAAAAGGCTCTTTTAGACCGAAGGCAAGCGTGAGAATAATGGAAAGTGAAAACAATCGATGACCAGTATGAGAGCGGGACAAAAAAGAGGTAATGATGAAATCTGGGAACCGGTGAATGGAGAAGAGGCAAACCCGATGGAGCAGATAAATTCCAATGATAAGGCGTTTTGATCACTAATGAGGAAGGTATCTAGATATTGAAAAGAGCGGTAAAACCATCTTGAAATCATTAATAGAGAAGGAAAAGGACAGCGGAAACTGCGCTAAACGGGACAATGGAAAGGTCAATCCATAGAGGGCCGTTTTCTGCTTCTTTGTTGTGGAAATGAGGGCATCAAGCTGATGTCGCACGCCATCGGCGCCTCCGAGAAATAGACGTGCTCGAGCGAGGCTGAAGCGGAAATTCGAGACTTGGGGTTGAATGTGAACAGCGAGTTCAGCAAATCGATGCAGGCCGATGTGTGGTTGTTGAAGACGCGCTTCAAATTGTTATACGGCTGATTCTTCAACGAGAAGCTCTTGATGTCCGGCAACTCGTCGAATCCAGGCCAAATCTTCTCGTTTGGCGTGCCGAGCAGGTCAATGATTTTGCAAATCTGGTCGAGCTCATTTTTGCCGGGCATCAGCGGGCGGTGCAGGAGCAGCTCCCCGAGTATACAGCCGATCGCCCACATGTCGACGGCGGGGAGTTGGAACCTTGAGCCGAGCAGCAGTTCGGGCGATCGGTACCAAAGTGTCACCACTCGGGGCGTCATCGGATGCTCGTCATAGCCGTACGTCCTGGCGAGGCCAAAGTCGGCAATTTTTAACGTGCCGTCGGAGGTGATGAGCAGATTCGAGACCTTCAGATCACGATGCAATACGTGGTGCTTATGGAGGTAGGCCATTCCTCGCAATATTTGCAACACGATGCACTTCACCTGCGCCTCGGAAAATGGGATTTTGAGGTTGTCCAACATCGAGGCAAGGTCCTGCTCGCAGTATTCCATCACCAGAAACATGCTTTTCACATCTCGGGCAACTGCGACGCCTCGCAATTCGACAATATTGTCGTGTCGCAGCCGATTCAGCAGCGTTATTTCCCGGAGTGCCGCCTCGGAAATGCCATCCCGGTTGTCGTCGTTGCGCACTCGTTTCAGGGCCAGGATCTCGCCGGTGTGGATCTGCTTGACGCGATAAACGACTCCATAAGTGCCCTCGCCGAGCCGGTTCAGCTTCTGGAAGTCGTTCACGTTTTGGCAAGCGCCATGTCCCAGCGTCTCCTTGTCGATGGCAGCGCGGCGGCCGGTCAAGATCGAGACGTATTCGAGGGCGGTGCTCGACGTGGATGCGTGCTCGGAGGCCATCGCCTGAGAATTTTTGATTAGTGAATTCATTGAACGCCTATGAATAGCGAGTGAAATATGTAGGTGTAGAACGGGTTAAAATTGAGGATTTGAAAAAGGACTTGAAAATGATTAAATGTCCAAAAACTATAATTACGTATTTACGACGACAGATTCACGTCCTAAACAATCAATACAGGGTTTCAGAAACCATAAACAAAAAGGTGAAGGCCCTGATGATTTTACAAAAGTACTAAACGATGTCAAGAACGTATTTAGGCCGGAAATCGGGGCATTGAGAAAGGTCGTGACGCAGCCCCGGGATGTGACGAAACCGGGCGAGCGGCCCTGCCCCTCCCTACTCCAAACTACGCGATACTGGGGGCAATTCCGGAATCTTTCTTTGAAAGTTAGATAGAGGAAAGTAAAATAGGTTATTTCAACAATTATACAACTAGCAAGATTCAGAAGGAGGGGATCTACTCGTGAGATTTCTCGGAATCGATAAGCTAATAATAAAATATAATAAAAAATATATTCTGAAAATCGTACTTTCTTCTAAGAATTTTTAGCATAAAATGCGGCAGTTGCCCTTCAAATATTTTTTTGGAAAAACCCATTACGACATTATAATCGGCCGTTGAGAGGAGCGGTGCGTAGCCAAGGGAACGCAATGCACCAAATTACGAAAATTGTTCGGAACTACAATAGTTATGGTTGCCTTAAAAAATTAAAAATAAGAGTCGAATAGTCAGTAGTAATACCCGCAGCTTTAGTCGAATAATCGCTTATTCTTGCGTAAGCAACGGCACCTTTTGACTAGTTCAAGAGGGGTGAGAAGGCGCGGCAGGGGGGAACGGGTCGATAACGCGACGACGGGATTAGCTGGAGAACGCGTCTCTATGTCTCTTTGTCTGTCTTTTCGCCTGCCTGTCTGCTTGATTGGAATCGGGGCGGTGTCGCGCTTGCGATAAAGCGCGGGGGAAACCCGGCGGAATGGCGTGCCCCAATGGCAACATGATTTTTGAGGGTGACCAATTAAAAGTGTATCAGTTTGGGGCGAGAAATATACTTTTTTTAACGAATTAAGGATGGTATCAGGTGTTCGGGACTGAAACTCCTTAGCTAAGCCTTGGGAAACGGGTGCTCGAGCGGGGAGAAGAAGTCAGTAAAAACTGGACGAGGCCTGGAGCCGGTTCATGCTCCGAGCCCGTCCCAGGGTTCCACAGATGAGGCGCAATTCAAAGAAAGAAACTGGCACCATTCGGATAAGAAGGATTGCTCAAGTTTGGGTAAAACGTAGGCAAAAGCGGCTATTTTCTCGATCTTTTATCACCTTAAAGCTATTGCTTCGGCTATTTTAGAAAAATGTAATAATTGTAACGGATTTTGGGCGTAATAAGCTAAGTTTTGCCGCTCGAATGGTTAATTTAATCTGAAATCCTAAATTTCACTAGCTTCATGGCTTTGATAAAACCATACGGCCAGGAAGCCAGTAAATATCGATTTTCGACCCAAAAAGGCTGTGTTTTTACCAAAATTTCGATTTTTTGAAACATTTTTTACAGTTTTTAGATGTTTTTTTCTTGCTGAAAGATAGCTTTATTTTACTAAAAACACTATACAAACTTTCTATGAAGTTAATGGGATTTCTATACTTCTAGATCCCCCCGATAATGCGAAAGAACTGAAGAAATAAGAGTATCGAAACGGAATTGAAAATTCTAACTAGGGCAATAAAATCGCACGCCACTTTCCTAATCACAGCGCTTGGCTAGATGCCTGGTGAGGGCGCAGCTTTTGAAGCCCCGCCGGGAGCCTGGGAACACTCGGCCGTGTGCGGCGCCCGAAAAGTGCAACAAGAGTCCGGTTGTAGTTTAAACGGGAGAGACGGACAATCGGACACCGAGAGAAGCAGCGGACGGTCGAGGTTGAACTAGAAAGAACTAGGAAAACTAGTCTAGCAAGTCTAGCAAGCCGCCGGGGACCCCGTTGGCGCGGGTGTGCGCTTTGGAGTGGTGCGGAACCGCAGGGGAGACGGCGAGAGATTGCGGATGGGGCGGAGGGGGATCGATAGGGATGTAGTAGGAGGGGAACGGGGGAATGGGCGAATGTGAGACATCGTGGGGTAGAGGTATTAGTAATGCGAAAGAGCGAGGGGTAGACGGCAGTCAGATCTAGAGAGCGTGAGAACGCGCAGGCGCAGAGTATCCCAGGCCCCTCCTAGCAGACAGACGAACAGACGAACAGACGGACGGATTGAGAGGACAGACAGTGCGCCCGGCACCCGCACACACGGGTCACCCCAGGCCCCAGGGAGTGGACGAGGCGAGGCACCCCAACCCCCGCCCAAGCCCTGAGGTCAACGCCAGACGCCGCTCGCTCGTCTACTCTCGTCCGTCCGTAACTTGACTGCGCAGTTTCGACGAGATTTTTATCAGCCGCCCCCCGGAATTTACGCCCGGGCTGGCCGCTGCCTCGACCGTGACCTCGACGCGCCCCACCACGACCCACGACTTCGGCTTGGCGGTTGGTGCTTGAAAGTTTGAGAGTTTGGGCTTGGTTTTTGAAACTTCCTTGAGCTACGGCTTTTCTTCTCCTCTTCGTTCCCTTTTTTGAAAGAATTTCCGGGTCTTTCTAGCTTTTCTGGTTTTTTAGTTTTTTTTTCTAACAAGCGCGATTTTCGAAAATCGCTTAAATATTGGCTGACATTCTGATTTTTTTCAGTATCGAATAGCTGAAATTTCTGTTTCGAAATCCCCTCTCGTCCCTCCCCTGTTCACGAATTGGTATTTATCGAGGTTTTCATTTTTTTTGGCTTTTGCTGAAAATCGGGATTTACGAGAATCTCTGAAAATTGCCTGGAACTTTATTCCTTAGAAATTCCTGGTTTTCTAAACTCCTTGAAGACGTTGGATTCGAAAATAGCATTTTCAATGCGCAATCATGTCCATTTTTGAATATTTGCGGCTATAGCGGCATTTTTTGTAAATTTTCAGGCAAAAACATGGAAAATCGATTTAAGATACCCTTTCTTTATTCCCAGCCATGCACTATTTTTACCCTTTTTTATAGGAGCTTTTCCCCAATTCCGAGTAACGGCTGACAAATATTCCCCGCTGATTTCAACACCACGGCTCTTCAGCACGAAATTGTCAGCACTCGAGCGGCGAAATCGCTTTTTTGTGGCTTCTGAGGATTGTAGTTTGTAGCGTAGCGTTGCTATCGATGAATTCTTGAAATTCAATTTGTATAAAAGTATGGATCACTACGATAGGTATCGATTTTCAAATACCTAGATACCTAACGTTCGGATTTCTGTATCGGAAACTACTGAATTTTCACCTTATCCGTTGCGAAAACAATTTAGACAACACTCCCTAATGCAAAAGCCCCAATCTCGCCCGGGGCTCGTTTATCGGAGCGGTCCGAGCTGTTGCTGCTGCAATACCAGCTTCTCCCACGCCTAGTTTTCTGCCCTCGATTTTCCGCAAGCACACACTCCTCACAACACCGCGCAGTCGGCCCCGGCTCGCCCATTCCATAGATTTTTCTCGGTATGATAGAAGAAAGATGGATCTCGCTCGCCAATCACTAATCGGCACCCCGATCCGATCCAACAGGGCCCGAAATAACTTTTGTCGATTTTTAGCCGGGTTTTGGAGCTGAAAAGGATATTTTTTTAGTGTCCATCGCGTTTCAAGACGGGTACAGCTTGCGCCGAATTTTTTTGCTGATCAAAAATAGCTCTAGAAGCTCGGAAACCAGCAGGTTAAAAAAAATGATGAAGCTGTAAAATCCGAAAAAGGGCGAAATTGGCTAATTTGAGCGAAATTCGCACGTTGCACCGTCATAACTTTTTGCTTAGTTTTTCGTTTTACTTTTTCTTTTAGCTGATCCCGAAAAGGAGGTTTTCATCAGTGAAAAATGCTGCACAAGCAAGGATGCTTCCGGTTTTTTACCTTGTATTTCCTTGGACGCTGAAAAAAAAGTCTCTTTGTAAGCACTCTCGCCCTCCTTGCTAAAACTCCCTACCTCACCCCCAGGCTCGTTCTCACGCATTCCCGAAGGTCATGGCTGTCACAAATTAACGGATGATGAGCGACAAATTCGGGGCGGGGAGGAAATAAGACGACGATAGGTTCTGATTGATGCTTGACCTCGGATTCGGGCCATATTTGCCAATCTCGTTGTCCAAAAGATCGGCCTCATCCTCCACCACGACCACTGGGTGCCACCATCGTTCTCCTCGTGCCAAAATCAATTTCGGCGCCCGGGCTTTCCCCCCTATATAGGGCCAGGGTAATGAAAAATCGATGGTAGCATCGGCTGCACCTTTTATTAGATAAGGCAGTGGTGCTGGTTTGAGTGGTTTCAAGGGGAACGTACCTTGTGAAGTGTAAAACTTGTTACAGAAGATCGTGAAAGTGGTACCTCGCGAAAGAGCGCCTCTGCGACAACGTAACAACCTTTCTACCCAATGATTCCTTGAGCTCTAAACACTTTCTCACCTATTCTTCGCGTTTTTCGGCATATTTCAGGCTCCTTGAGGGACCAAGTCCCATTTTCTTGTTCTAAATCAAACGTTCTTGTTATTTTGAACTTGTCTGATGAAAAAAAGCTGCAAAATGGCAAAAGCCTAGAGTTTATTAGCTTTCCGGAAAAAGAAAAATACGAAAAACTAACAAAAACGAGCCTTTCTACGCCGTTCTATCCTCCCATTAATGCGTGAATAACCCCGAACTGCGAATCCCCCGACCGGAAGACCGTCATTTGTCCTCCAACGGCCTGTCACTCTCGAAGCTTTTCTTTGGTTCCCAATTTCTTTTTGTCGAAACTGGAACTTTCTTTTATTACACTTTTCTTTACCTCGCAAAAGTTCATTCTGTTTCTCATCGCCCTTCCATTTCATCGTACTTCCTTTTTTGGCCAATTTCCCGATGTGGGTGTGGAAATCCGTGTCGGCGTTAATCCGGGCCAATCCGCACGCGTAAACCGGTTCGAAAACTGCCGACCAGAAA